TCGGGAGTGAACCGGTAAATATGAGCTCCGATCTGTTCGAACCGCCTTCAAATCGACCAGTTTTTTGAAGGTCCAACCGGTTTTAGGTTCGACTTGCAATAAGTAAATTGAAGTCGAAATTATATTGCAATTACCCAAAGATTGAGATAAAATTGCCAAACGCAAAAAGGTTAAAGTTTATTTAGCGATAACCCTATTATAAATTAGGGAGATGCTACATTCCGTTACGGAACCATTCTGTCGAAATTTGTAAACAGATCAAATATCTACGACGGTTACATGATCATCTAACGGTTACAAATCCGACAGAATGCTTCCGTAAGGTGACCGTAGCATTTTCCTATAACGACCGGCCCATTACTCCTTCAAATTCCCTTTTTCTCAGTTCACATACATAATAAATAAAGAGTTGATTATTGACTGCCTATTTAATACTTTCAATCTAAGAAAAAGATAATGTATTTATTAACCAAAAAAAATATATATATATTTTATAAATGTTGACAAAGTATTGGGAAATTGGAAGCATTCCAATCATCTCTCTCTAATTGTGTGCTTCTTCGAACTGCCATATCTCTTCTACTAAAGTCAGTTAATTTAATTTACATGTGTTATTTATTATTTATTTTGCTATGATTGACTCGAATAACTATTGTCTTGAAGATTTTGCTTGGCCTCTTGCTTAGTCTATTTTATTTTATTTATTATTTATGACTTATGTTCGTTTGATTCTTTGACAGAATATTAGTTAATTAAATTAGGCTGAACTTCAGAGGACTCGTAACTAAGTCTACCAATCGCGAAAGTACATAACGCTATTATTAAATGTTAAACCCGAAGACCATCTTTCCAATAAATAAATAATGAAGACTCAATTTATTTATTACTATATACGCAATGCTATTAAATCCGAATAGGTCTTCGAACCAAAGTAATGTCTCCTGGCTGGGTTAGAGGTGGCCCGGCCCACAACCGGCTAAGATTTCGCCGACTCGTTGAACCGGAACCTTGGTCTTGCGGGTCGGTTCTCGTTCTTAGTTTTTTGCGGGATTTTGGCGGTTTGGGTCGGGCCGTGGGTTGGGAGGCAGGTCGTAGTTTTATTTTTTTATTTTATATAAAAAACTACCGGTTCAATGAGCCGGCCTAAGATGTAGCCGGCCCGGTTCTGGGCTCAGCATTTGTCGTGTCGGGTCGGGTCGTGAACCGGCCCGACAGTTGGCCAGGTCTAAGCTGGGTTATTGAGTCACTGAAGTTTAAAAAAAATTGGTTCAACCGTACACACATATATAAATATAGGAAAAAACTACCATCTCATAAACGGAATCATTCTGTGAGAGTTTTTAGCCGTTGATTATCTACAATAACTAACTTTTATGTATATCCAATGGCTAAAAACTCTAATGAGATGATTTCGTGACGGGATGATAGCTTGTTCCTATATTTATATAAGAGTTGTTGGGAGCTTGTGAGATTATAAGTGTATCTGATCTGTTTTGCTATGAAGCCAGCAGTTGGCTTCATAGTGGAGCCAACCGTCTATATACATCAAATAAACTATATCATATTCTCTGATTACTTAAATAATACTAATAAGTTTATTAATATGGTATGATTTACTTTTTGTATATAGAAGGTTGACTTCACAATAGAGCCACTGTTGGCTTCATAGCAAAACTGTACGACAAAAATTCTATGGAGCCCTCAGATGACTCTCTTATGAAGTCATCTATAACTTTATGTACTGACACATGTACAATGTGTATTTATTGCAGGACGCGTGTCAATACACCATTTATGAATAACTATGGATGACTCCATAAGCCGAGTCATCCGATGGCTCCATAGCAAAACCGTCTCATACGGTTATAGATAAAAGTTCATTAACAAAGGGAGTCTTTCATTGGAGTTGATATATGAACCTTAACAATTGATAAAAGATGATATAAATATTCCATTGACAGTGACAGATCTAGAAATTTCACTTAAGGGGACCCAATTTTAAATTTTATAACGAGTTTGTACTTTATGTCAAAACGCTCATTTCATATGAAAATGTATTTACTAATAAATATGAATATCGATATGTGTACCATCAAATTTTTAAAAAACTTAGAATCCATATCACCGTCAAACTTAAAAAATAAAAGAAAAAAAAATGAAATTTTATGTATTTATAATTTAAGTTCAACATCTATAATTTTTTAAAAAATAAGTTTTTTTTTTTAAAAAAAAAAAATTGATTTGATTAAACTTTTACAACACATTACATAGTATTTTTCGTTGATGAGAGCTTATCAAATGAACATTTTTAAAAAGAAAATAAATAAATCTAAAAACATGTGATTACACGAAAAAAAACATATAAAAAAATCAATATTAGAAAATATAACAATTCGACTAAATATTGATTTCTATAAATCACTAAAAAGATTGACAATTAAGAGACCAGAAATGTTAATTGTTATTAATATTTTTAAGAATTTATTCAGACATGTAAATAATAAGGTAAGGGTTGTTAGTACGGTTTTTAATAAATAAATATTATTATTAATTAAAATTAAAATTGCGTAAAAAATAAGTTTTAATTATTACTATACTGTTAATATATTTAAACTTGTATACATATTTTATAGTGTTTTCTTTTTGGCCCCGATACAGATCCGTATTCCATTGATGTCGAAAATATAGCGGTCACCCAAGAGTGCTTGGATGATATGGTTTGAGTCTCTTCCAGCTTAATCAGTGGTCTCGTGTTTGAGCCCTGAAAATGCAACAGTGTTAAAACTCTTGAGGGAGAGCTTTGCCACCCTTGTGGTCCTACCAGGCTCGATTCCGGATTAGTCGATTCCCATATGGATCCGGAAACCAGAAGGTCCCTGTACCAAAAAAAAAAATACAGCGGTCATATCCGATGGCTCATTTAAATTTAAATAAACTAATAACCGTTGAACATGCCACGTAGACTCACAGCGGTTATATAAAAACACAAATTAAATAATAATTAAAAAAAAAAGAAAAAAAAAAGAAAAAAACTAGTGAATTACATAACATATATTTCCCTTTTTGGACACAGTTTGAAAAAGTCGTGTTTGTTAAGTTTCCCCTCAAGTTTCCAAAAACACCAGTATATAAAGCACCAATCCATGCAAAATTACACCACACAACACAAATCAAACACTATCACTTACTCACCTGCATAGCAAAACAATACAATTAACTTAGAAATATTAGAGTTGGATTAATTAAAAACAAATTTAACCGCTGAAAAAAAGTGCCCAATTAAGCATGGTGATAATCGAGTCGAGCATTGCTTCGAAAGCGAGGCCGTATGTGGGAGTCATTTTCCTGCAGTTTGGGGCTGCCGGTTTCGGTATAGTTGCAAAGGCTGCTCTAAACAAAGGCAGCAGTAATTACACGTTCGCCGTCTACAGAAACGCAATCGCGGCTGCCATTTTCATTCCTTTCGCCATCATTTTCGAGAGGTCGATCGTCTAATAATAATATGCATTACAAATACACCGTATACTCAACTATGCATTATTTCTTGCTGATTCTAAAATGTTGCGCCGAATTCAACAGGAAAACAAGGCCAACAATGACGTGGAGCGTCTTGTGGAAGATTTTGCTGCTTGGCTTACTTGAGTAAGTATTCGAATAATGCTTACAGTTAACTAGTTCATCTGCAGTTCAGATTTTTTTTTTTTTTTTAATTAAGAAAAATAATTATGTGCAATAATAATGAGTGGTCGATTTTGTTGACAGCCCGGTTATCGGTCAGAACATGTTCTATGCCGGCATGAGATATTCATCGGCCACCTTTGCTGCTGCTCTGTGCAATCTCATCCCTGCTCTCACTTTTGTATTGGCTTGGATTTTCAGGTACAACATTTTGCTATGTCTGTCAATCCTACTGCAATAATAACCCCTTTTGTTAAAGTACACCAAGTAACAATGTGAACATTTACATGTAAATTGATTTTTTTTTTTAATAGGATTGAGAAGGTGAACTTGAGAAGCTTGCACAGTAATGCTAAGATAATGGGGACTTTGGTTACTGTTGGAGGAGCCATGATTATGACTTTGATTAGCGGGCCGATAATTGGATTGCCATGGACGCATGCATCACATGATAATCGAGCCTCTGCGAATCCTAATGATAAGGAAGATCCTGTTAAGG